TTTTTGAGGTCCTGGATTAATTTGGATATAACCACTTAACAGCGCTACAATAAGAGCTGTGTGCCACTGTTTTTGTTTGGGTATGCAGTGTTGCCATACCTTGCGGCGATAGTGACATTTGACTTTTCTGGTAGGATGGCAACTGTTGGGCTTTAATTGTCCAGGGTGCTATTACTCCATTCGCCTTTTCCAGCCCCCATGACTGATTTCTTTTTTCATGGAATTGCAGGAGAAAGATAAATACATTATGGCAGCCTGTACCCCCCTAATGCCTGCCATTTTCACTCTTCACTCTTTTACTTATATAAAACAATATTTATTTCTCTTTTCCTGGCACCTAGCAAACCCTAGTAGCTGCTCTAGCAGTCATCACTGAATTACTAGTAAATTTCCTGGTATCTACTTCAAAATGACTCTCTTCACTCCTCACTTATCCCTTAACTCCACAAAACCTTTTCACTTATCCCCTTATTTCACACTCCCCTTCACGCCTCACTTCACAGTCCAAAGATTCCTTAGTCGTTGCTGACGGTGCTTTATATACATAAGAACATAAGATTGGAGGAACACTGCACGAGGATAATTACCAGGTTCCTATTTTCTACGTTAATATCTAGAACTTTTAATGAATTCAACAGTTCAATGAAACAGAAAGTATCTTTCACATAGAGTCCTGCTCCTCCCTGTGACCTGCTAACTCTGTCACAACTATACATATTATAGTTTTTATCGTTATCTCACCGTCCAAAACATCCCTTGAAGGTATTTCTGTAAATACTCCAAACATGCTATTCCTTTCTATGAAGAGTCCCCCCCCCCAAAAAAAAAAAAAATAGCTAACGTTTAACGTTGTCTCTTTTATTTGATCTCTGATCCTAAAAGTTTGCAAAAATGAAGCAGGATTTACCATTTGGGATGTTCTGGTTTACTGTGGGTTTTATTAGTACCACTGGTTATATACCACCTCGTATGACACCTGGTGTATATATCCCTGCTTTCTCCAGTAATGGTTTGACCCTGTTGAGTGTATGACTGGCTTGATTTTTCCCACTGCTGTGCACCTCTGTACCACCTGTTGTTCTTCCTGTTGGTTCCCTTTTCTGGATCTGATCGTTTCTCTCTTCCTCGAAAAGAGAATGCTGTTAGTTGTCCACACCCCTGCTTTCTCAGTAGTGTAGTGTTCCTTTCACGTGGTAGTCAGGGCAACTGAAACCATAACATTCTCTGTGTTGCATTAAGGATTTGCACATTTTTGGATGGAAGTACCTGCATTCCTCTTTAAAAGCAACACTTTTTCCTTCCTTAGCACACTAAACATAGTCTGGTGTGTTGATACCAGCGTTCTTTCCCGTACATGTACATCACTTAGCGTAGTACTGGCAAATTTTCTTAATGCCTACACTGTCTGTGGTAGACTCATTCTCGCTTTTTGAGAGATGATTGGACACTCCAATTTCAAAACCCATCCTAACACCACCCAGGACCCACCTTAACCCCACCCATCACCCACCTTCACCCCACCCTAACTTGTGGGCAGCCAATGCATCTTCTAATCCCGTCATATGGTTCGCCTGGACCTCGGCTGATTGTTTTTCTTCAGATTATGCGCATTTAGGATGGTGAAAGGAGAGAGGGCCATGTGGCACGCTTTGCTGCGTGAGTCATGTTGATGCCGAAGAGGCAGGGAGGAACAGCAGCATCATGCAATGTGTCTCTCAGAATGGCGCTCATTGTTAAACGAAGACCTAGACATAGCCCATGCTGGAGGTGGCGAGAGACGCCATGCTAGTATACATGTGTGGAGCCTTGCCAGACAGTCATGATGTGTGAGAGAGAGAGAGAGAGAGAGAGAGAGAGAGAGAGAGAGAGAAGAGAGAGAGAAGAGAGAGAGAGAGAGAGAGAGAAGAGAGAGAGAGAGAGAGAGAGAGAAAGGGAGGGAGGGAGGGAGGGAAGGAGGGAAGGAGGGAGGGAAGGAGGGAGGGAGGGAGGAAGAGAGAGAGAGGAGAGAGAGAGAGAGAGAGAGAGAGAGAGGAGAGAGAGAGAGAGAGAGAGAGGAGGAGAGAGAGAGAGAGAGAGAGAGAGAAGAGAGAGAGAGAGAGGAGAGGGAGGGAGGGAGGGAGGGGAGAGAGAGAGAGAGAGAGAGAGAGGGAGGGAGGGAGGGAGGGAGGGGAGAGAGAGAGAGAGAGAGAGAGAAGAGAGAGAGAGAGAGAGAGAGAGAGAGAGAGAGAGAGAGAGAGAGAGAGAGAGAGAGAGAGAGAGAGAGAGAGAGAGAGAGAGAGAGAGGGGGGGGAGGGGGTGAGACTGGGGAGGGAGAAAAAAAAGAGAGAGAGAGGGAGGGAGGTGAGACTGGGGAGGGAGAAAAAAAAGAGAGAGAGAGAGTTTAATATCTTTAGTATGCACCCCATACTCACGGTGGGGGTGGACAGTCAAAAGATTACAGAGGCACATAATGGGTCCAGGAACTGGGCAGCCAAGTTTTCATAACTAAGCAGATTACAGTGGTCATGAACTATTTAAATATTTATATCTGGTTACAATCGTAGTAAGTTATTTTTGCAGACCTGAATTAAGTCACAAAAATATGGTAGTTTATATGTAGCTTTGAATTATTTATATTACCTTATATTTTAGCAAGGCATGGTTGAAATTAAGCAAGTTTAAGTGGTTGAGTTATCTGCGATAAGTAGTCAGGATATTTTTTTCCAGAATGGTTGGTAATATGCCACTGTGGAGTTTACCTGGAGAGGGTTTCGGGGGTCAACGTCCCCGCGGCTCGGTCTGAGACCAGGCCTCATGGTGGATCAGGGTTTGATCAACCAGGCTGTTGCTACTGGCCGTACGCAAGCTGGCGTACGAACCACAGCCCAGTTGGTCAGGTACTGACTTTAGGTGCCTGCCCAGTGCCTTCTTAAAGACAGCCAGGGGAGTATTGGTAATCCCCCTTATGTAGGCTGGGAGGCAGTTGAACAGTCTTGGACCCCGGACACTTAGTGTGTTGTCTCTCAATTTACTCGTGGCGCCCCTGCTTTTCATTGGGGAAATGTTGCATCTCCTGCCGAGTCTTTTGCTTTCACAGGGAGTGATTTTCGTGTACAGGTTTAGACCAATCCCTCCAGGACCTTCGAAGTGTATATTATCATGTAAATGAGTCGTCTCTGAATTCATTGATTTTATTCCACTGCAGCACATAATGAATCAAGATGTGACAATAATCCATCTGGTAAAGTTTACACTAAGTTGTGTATTTCAGCTGGTGAAGCAACTTCCAAGAGGTACTTGTAACCCAGACGAAGTCGGACATTAATAACATCGAAGGGTCTACTTATTTTGTTGAATGCATGCACCACTGACATCTGGCTCCTCCTGTATGACAGAATGACGATAGGTATCAGTCTTCCTTAGTCTAGTCCAGGAAGTTCAATTACAGTTCTTTTCCCCTGACGGCTCAAGGCTTAATCTACTCCCTTCATGAAGGCATATACTTTCGCCAGTTCATCATTTGTATCATGCATCTGAAGACCAGTGTAAGATGGAATCCACAACTGGTGCTTACAAACTTAATCGCTCAGTCCACAGCAGGATTCGAACCTACACACTGCATCAAACTACGTAATACTTACGCCACTCGGCCAGATCCCAGGGACTGAGAGATAGTGTATGTGTGTCGAATAGGTAACATTGGTAATTAGCAAGAATTAATTTAAAATTAAGTCCTTTCTAAAATTTTCTCTTATACGTTCAGATATATTGTTCCAGTTATATTAATGTAAAAATTAATAATTTTGTACCAAAAAAAATGAGAAAACTTACTTAACCTTATTATAACAAACGTAATTTAATTTAGCCTAATTCAACTAAATATATTTTAGATAAGTTTCCAGTAATTTAATAATAAACAAAAAATGAAATATATTTTTTCTCGTTAGGTTCAGAATAATTTTTGCGAAATTACTGGATGCACAAATTTTCGCTTGCCTTATTCGGCAAGAAGAGCGTTGCTATTTAAGCCAAAATCGATAGTTTTTACCTATTCGGCACGAATATATATATATATATATATATATATATATATAATATATATATATATATATATTATATATATATATACATATATATACATATATATTATATATATAATATATATATATATATATATATATAATATATATATATATATATATTATATATATATATATATATGTATGTATGTATATGTGTGTGTGTGTGCATGTGTGTATTTTTTTTATCAACACTGGATTTGAGTTTTTAATAAAAAACTATGGTTAATGAAAGAAATTTTGTTTACTCAAGTTATAAATATACACCCTATAAACTGGAATAAAACAATCCATCAGGCAGATATTTTCCAGATAGTTTCTGGGCTTAACAGACAGTTGTTTTCTTACATCAGTTACATTTCAAAGCCCAGCCCTCTCTTGTATGTTCCCCCCTCCCCCCCACGCCCCACAGGATGCAGCCCATCACAGGTGTCACCTTACACCGATGTACCTACTTACTGTTATGTGTACTAGACTAGGGCAACAGGTGTAAGGGAACTTGAATGATTCACCGGTACTGTCCCGGCCCGGGTTTTCTCCAGATGGTGACCCAGCGAATGTAAGAAGACATGCTCGTAAGTCTACTCACCTGGGACTGGCCCCGGACCCTTTGGTTTTGAACTAAAAATCTACCACTGAGCCACGAGCCATGGACCCCAATGAAAATGCACATGTCCTAATTTGACTTTCTTGACTTACCCCCAGGTTAAATCCACATAATGGAATATGCATTTGTACCGGTATTAGTTGTCCTCAAGACTTTTGTAAAACTTTAAATAAAAATACAAAGAACCGAATGGAAATAAGCCAGTGACTTTTAATGGGGTAATCCTAGGTAATTTTTAGTGTATGATGTGTGTCCCTGTGCCTATATAAACTCACTCCCTCAATTCAATAATGTTCACAATACAACCTATATTATTCAACGCAAAAATTACTTACTACTCTGGTAATCCTAACACCACATCTATCCCCTAGACGTTAAACAAAATATGTCCAGAGCAACACAAGCACCCACACAGCAGAGAGCACAAGCTCAAACTACAGGTCCTGCCTGGCCCCTGGTCCCCGGACCGGGGTTCCTCAAGGTACACTGCTTGGTACCCTCTGGTTTATCTACCCCAGCATATTCACGCGTTAACTTTCTCGTTAACACATGACTTAATATTATTTTTAGTTATCTGATCGTGCTATTTTATTACAAATTCTGTGAACTTTTATTGACAGCGCCGGGAATAATTAAAATTAGTCATTATTGAATACTGGATGGGCGGACGTACGATTCGTGCAGCACTGAACCAAGGTGAACAAAGAGACATTTATGCAACATTTAGAATCTTTATTGAGGAAACGTTTAGCCATGAGATATTTTAACTTCCTCATAAGATCTGGCATTCATTGCCCGAACCAGCAAAAAGGTCCCCTGCCGTCAAGAATATTTTTGTCTTTAAAGCCGGGGCTGAAGTAAAATCTCAGTGTATAATACATAGAAATATACATCTCTGTGTGAAGAAGGAAAAAAAAACACAATACCGCACTGAAAGAATTCATCACAATTTGCAAGTTGACTTTGTCTCCCATGTGCGGGTTATTTGTATGTATCTGTGTGTATACACTGAGAGATACACCAGTGTATATATGCTAAGAATTATACACTCCTAGATGTATAAAGTGTATGTACACCTCTTGGTGTACATATGCGACAAAGTGCACATCTCAACGTGTACACATAGCTTTAAGCACAGGTATGATAAAGCTCACGGTTCATGGAGTGACCTAGTAGCGACCAGTGAAGAGGCGGGGCCAGGAGCTAGGACTCGACCCCTGCAAGCTCAACTAGGTGAGTACATCCTTCCACTGTGGTAGACCTGAAAATGCAAATAAAGGAAAGTAGGAAAACAAGGAAGCCCGGGGAATAAATGTGGTTCATACCAGTTATATATTCGCGGTGGTAGAAGACGGTACAACAGAGGTACATGGGTAAGGACCCCAATGGAAATAAGTCACTGTCTGACTTTTTTGGGTTATCCTAGGTTCTCTACACATATGCTGCTATGTATGATAATTCTATGTAACTGTATTTGTGTATACCTGAATAAACTTACTAAGGAGGAGTCAAAGATGGACAAGCAGACAGAGGCTGACTCTTGCAAGTTCACTCTGTCAACGACCGTGTTTCATTAGATAAAATACGATAAGATTTGCCCGGATTTTTAATCCGGAGGGTCAACCGCCCAGGATAACCCAAGAAACTCAGTGCATCACCGACAACTGGGTCTTATTTCCATTGGGATCCTTCAGTCTTGCCTCCGAGGATGCGACCCTTACCAGGCGACTAACACCCACATACCTACTTGCTGCTAGGTGAACAGGGACAACAAGTATAAGGAAATATGCCCAACGCTTCCACCGCCGAAATGAACCACGGACACAGTGTGTGAGGGAGAGAGTTGTTTTCCAAATCACGTGGAGCTCGGGGTGGACCCACCTATGAAACTATTTCTGCCAAGTACAATTTACAATTAATTCAGGAATAGTTGAGATCAAGACTGTTCAACTGCATCCCACCATACATAAGGGGGATCACCAATAAACCCCGATGAAAATAAATCACTCTATCTGACTTTTTTTGGATTATCCTAGGTTCTCTACACATATGCTGTTGTGTATGATAATATATATATAATTATATTTGTGATGAATGGTTTTGAAAACCGACAAGTTGAAGATTGAGACACTTATGCAACATATGGGAATCTTTATTGAGGAAACGTTTCCTTAATAAAGATTCCCATATGTTGCATAAGTGTCTCAATCTTCAACTTGTCGGTTTTCAAAACCATTCCTCTCAACTGTCAGACACTGCATCATCATGGGATCTTGATACAAAGGATTCTTCCAACTTGTCCAACCTTTGGACGAAGACCTACTTCGACTAGTGGATGGTACCACTATGACCCCGCCTCCTCCTTACCTGGAGAGAGTTCCGGGGGTCAACGTCCCCGCGGCCCGGTCTGTGACCAGGCCTCCTGGTGGATCAGAGCCTGATCAACCAGGCTGTTACTGCTGGCTGCACGCAAACCAACGTACGAGCCACAGCCCGGCTGATCAGGAACCGACTTTAGGTGCTTGTCCAGTGCCAGCTTGAAGACTGCCAGGGGTCTGTTGGTAATCCCCCTTATGTATGCTGGGAGGCAGTCGAACAGTCTCGGGCCCCTGACACTTATTGTATGGTCTCTTAACGTGCTAGTGACACCCCTGCTTTTCATTGGGGGGATGTTGCATCGTCTGCCAAGTCTTTTGCTTTCGTATGAGTGATTTTCGTGTGCAAGTTCGGTACTAGTCCCTCTAGGATTTTCCAGGTGTATATAATCATGTGGCCCGGTGGCCTGGTGGCTAAAGCTCCCGCTTCACACACGGAGGTCCCGGGTTCGATTCCCGGCGGGTGGAAACATTTCGACACGTTTCCTTACACCTGTTGTCCTGTTCACCTAGCAGCAAATAGGTACCTGGGTGTTAGTCGATGGTGTGGGTCGCATCCTGGGGGACAAGATTAAGGACCCCAATGGAAATAAGTAGACAGTCCTCGATGACGCACTGACTTTCTTGGGTTATCCTGGGTGGCTAACCCTCCCGGGGTTAAAAATCCGAACGAAATCTTATCTTATCTTATCTTCCCCGCCTGCGTTACCTGGGTAGTCAGGTTGGTGAACCTCAAGAAAGGGCCCCAGGGAAAATTGAGAGTTGTGTACATTCTACCGGGGGGTTTAAATCCGGGGCCCCACGAATCTTATCTTATCTTATTTTCTAGGTCAGGCAAAACTTTACGCTGCCTTAAAGGTGTTTTATCTGGCTTATGCCGCCGTGAAAGGACCTGATATTATTTTCATCAGCTTGGCCTCCCTGCCTTTGAAAGGTTGTCATTTCCAATGATTCAGCTAGATGCATGATAAATGTTATGGTTCCTCCCTTGAAGGTGACATCTCCTCACTGAAAAATGATTCAAACCCCCCGAACAGGTCTTTGACGTTGGTGTTTCGCTCTATTTTGTGCCTACTTCACCTCACCTGACTACAGTATATAAGCCACGTCTACGACCCTATGCTGTAGTAATAAAAATGGTTATAACTGACAATAATTTTTAAAGGGTAAGCCAGCGGAAGGCCTCGGTCAGATGACCAAAAGCTCCAAAGGCGGGTCATCATCTAAGACCCGCGTCAGGAAACACTTGTCCTGTTTCCTGACGAACCTTACCTAACCTAACCCTATGCTGTACATTCTACAAGAGTGATGGACTGAACACATCGACTCCAGGCTGAGGGACTGATTACCTCAAACTCCTCCTCTCCTTACACCCTTCTGCTTTGTATTGGACTGATGAAGCCACTGTGTAGCGAAACGTTTCCTCATTAAAGATACCCATATGTTGCATAAGTGTCTCAATCTTCAATTATATTTGTGTATACCTGAATAAACTTACTGAGAGGGTTCGTTCGTTAGTTTGCGTGCTGCCAGCAGTAACAGCCTGGTTGATTAGGCCCTGATCCACCACGTGGCCTGGCCATGGACCAGGCCACAGGGGCGTTGGACCCCGGAACAGTTCTCCAAGTATACTACAGGTATTATGCAGAGCATTTCAGACAACCTTGCAATAAACTTAAAACTCATGAATGAGTAAATAATTTTGTTTGCAGTTTTTTGCAAAACAATTTATTGGGAATTTTTGTACAACAATTTGCTATTTGTAAAAAAAAAAAATGCTATATAACGTTCGAGCGGTTATTACAAATGTTAGTCAAATACGAATGTAAATACTAATCTATAATTCAATATTATTGTACAGGACATAGAGTAATCTGAAGACCCATGGAATACACAGCACCTCGGACAAAACTTAGATTATGCTGTACTAATGAAAATGCCAGATTATATGTTAAACAGCCTAAAATCAATGCGAACCTTCTTCTGATCAAAACTCACAACGGACTCTATTGGAAATAAGTCACTTTGACTTTTTGGGGGTTATCCTAGTAATTTACACAAGTACTATGCATGGTAATTTGTTTAATTATATTTATGTGTACCTGTACCTAAATAAACTTACAAACTTATTGCCTAAAGTTTGAAGGCGATTGACTTTTTCTTAGGTCATGAGATGGATGGTACGAACTGGAAGGGCAAAGACGATTTTTTTTTTAGATTTTGCCGCTAATTTCCATCCTTTGGAGGGTATTATTATTATTAGTAGTAGTAGTAGTATTACAGTCAAAACGAAGCGCTAAACCCACGAGGGACATGCAAGGCTGTCTGTGGAGGGTAGCACAAAAATATATGGATACACAAAAGGCCTGGGAACTAGAGCCCCAAAAGGGTTCACGGGAGTACATGTTGATTTATATCTAGGGCTGAGTTAGGGTAAAATAGGGAAAAGAAAGGTTGTGGGTACACAGGAAGAGAAGGTGGGTTGAAAGAATGTTTTTTAACATATAGTGTCGAAACTAGGGTGCTCAGCTTTTTTTTTTCAGGGAAGTCTGTTAACAAACATGTACAAAGAAGACAATGTGAGAGTACCATAAACTCAGTTTACCTTATTCATGGTATATCTCCTTTTATTGTAGTTGTTTTTCACACAGTTGAGTTACTTAGCCCTTTTAACTTTTAAAATTTAAATAATAAGGTATTACAAGGACCACAAAGGAAATGAGTCACTTCGACTTACTTGTGTTATCCTGTGTAGTCTACACATGTGCTGCTATGTATGATAACTTATGTAACTCCCACAACATACTCAACCCCTGTCAGTTTGGGTTCAGGCCTAATAAAAATACGAATGATGCTATTATACACATGCTAGAACAAATATACACTGCACTAGAGAAAAAAAAGAGGTCCCACTGGGAATCTTCATTGATTTACGTAAAGCTTTTGATACAGTTGACCATGACTTGCTCCACATAAAATTATTGCACTATGGTATAAGAGGCCACTCCCTCAACTACCTAAAGTCAAACCTCAGCAAAAGATGCCAGTATGTGTACACAAATGGAGCAAACTCTTCCGCACAACCAATTACAGTTGGTGTCCCACAGGGAAGTGTCCTTGGCCCTCTTCTCTTTCTCGTTTACATAAATGACCTACCAAATGCATCGCAACTACTCAAACCCACACTATTTGCAGATGACACTACATACGTCTTCTCTCACCCGAGCCCAGTCACGCTAGCCAATACTGTGAATACCGAATTACAGAAAATATCTACCTGGATGAGGACTAACAAACTTACTCTAAACATTGACAAAACCTACTTCATTCAGTTTGGTAACAGAGCTACAGATGTCCCTCTTAACATAATGATAAACGGATCACCTATGGAAATAACCAATGGAAATAAGTCACTCTGTCTGACTTTTTTGGGTTATCCTAGGTTCTCTACACATATGCTGCTATGTATGATAATTCTATGTAACTGTATTTGTGTATACCTGAATAAACTTACTTACTTACTTACAAAGCTCACAGAGAGAAAATTCTTAGGAATCCACCTTGATAACAGACTCAAATTTCAAACACATATACAACAAATTTCCAAGACCGTAGGCATACTATCGAAGATACGGTACTATGTTCCACAGTCAGCCCTCCTGGCCCTATATCACTCACTTATTTACCCCTATCTCACCTATGGAATTAGTGCATGGGGCTCAACAACAATAAACCATCTCAGACCATTAATTACCCAGCAAAAGGCTGCAGTCAGAATGATAACAAATTCTCACTACAGGCAGCACACTCCACCAATATTCAAAACTCTAAACCTACTCACCATACAAAACATCCATACTTATTATTGTACCTACTACATACATAGAACACTTAAGTCGGATATAAACCTTCCCCTCAAGCGTCTCCTTACCAACCTCAACAGAACACATGACCATAACACAAGGCACAGATCACTCTTTGATGTTCCTTGTGTCCATCTCACGCCATGCAAAAACTCAATGCACATTAAAGGCCCAAAAATCTGGAATTCATTACCTGGGAATATAAAAAAAAAAAAACTGTTTATAAATTCAAGTCTCTTCTTAAAAATCACTTACTCATCCACAACTAAATAAATATTGAATAATTGTGTCTCATAAATGTTTAACCTGTGACCCAATCAAACTTTATTTTTAATTACATTACCTAACAGAATACTCCATTCTACTGATTACACAGCAACACAGTAAATGACCATATGACCTGTCTTTGAAATACACATTTGTGCTTAATTGTTATGTTTACAACAATGTTTACCACTGAATATATCATTGCTTAGTTAATCTTAAGTTAATTTTAAGCCTGCCCATAATGCTCTGCATACAAGGGGCTTTGGCATGTTACACTTAACCACTGTATTTCCTTGTATTTCTTTGTATCATGTTCAAAATAAATAAATAAATAAATAAACTGTATGTGTACCTGCACCTGAATAAGCTTGCTTAGCTGCATCTAGAAGGGGAAGCTTATGGCGACATTTCGGTCTTCCCGGACCATTGTTAGTCACAACGGACTTGACAATGGTCCATGTAGGACACAAACGTTGTCACAAGGTTCCTCTGCTAGGTAAGATAAAATAAGATTTTGTTCGGATTTTTAACCCGGAGGGTTAGCCACCCAAGACAACCCTCTAAGAGCGGGTTAAGTAAGTTTATTTAGATACAGGTACACATAAATACAATTGCATAAATTATCATACATAACAGCATATATGTAGATTATATAGGAAACCCCCCAAAAAGTCAAAGTGACTTATTTCCTTTGTGGTCTATGTTTCCATGAGATATACGACATATGCAAGACTCGTTAAAGAATGCTGCAACATTTATCAACATGCATTTGAAGTTATATTTATTTCCATAAAAAATAATATAAAACCGTAAATCATAAATATATAATGGGATGGCGTTATATGTTTTAGGCTCGTGTTTAATGTAAACAGAAGATGGCGGGAAGGTCGTTGAGAGAACTACAGATGAATGTATCCTTGAAGAAGACTTCAGCGACGTCCACGCTGGAGTCACCTTGCTTTCCCCTGCTCTCAGCATCAGTGAATAAATTCCTCGTTCTCTCAGGGATGCTTGTCTTCATCATACAGTGCTTGCTGGGTAATTGATCTACTGGTGTGGGTCGTATCCTAAGTTAGTATAATAATAATTATCTCAGCATGATGCAGCGCTGTATGACCCTTGCGGTTTAGAGCTTCTTTTTTATTATAATAATAATAATCTCAGTATGATACACTGTACAAAGATGAATGACATTTAGGTGTACATGCATAAAGCCCCTAAATATGCAGAGCATATCGGGCCAACTTAACACTAACTTAAGATTAATAAGCAAGTTTATTTAGGTACAGATATACTTAAATACGGTTACACAATAATTTAATATAGCAAATTATGGTATAAACCGTGGTAACTGAGACCGAGAAATTAGTTTGATAAGACACATGAACAAATGCTAGGACATATTTATTAGAAAATGATTCAATTTTGGATCGGAAACATGTCTTATGTGACAATAGAAATTTATGTAGAATTTCAATAGAATAGGACATTAAAGTCATCTAGGTATCTACCTTGTCCAATTAAATTTAAACTTATTATTTATAAAAGATATGTTGGTGATACTGTTTTGCTTTTCAGGAGCCCTAATCACAAATTTATTTAAATATTTAAATTCTAAATAGAAAAAATGTATTTGCATAGAGAAGAATAATATGTTGTCTTTTCATGATGTAAATTTAGAAAACAAATGCAGTTTATGGAAGGCTACATATACTGGTGTTATGATTATAATAATTATAATACATATTTTGGTGTGTGTTTGAATTTTTTTATCCTTTGTATCTACTCTGTTTAAGGAAAATTCTATAAAAACCTTAATTAATAGATGCTAATTATTATGTTCAACTTGGTCTGCTTTTTTACATGGAGATCAAAATTGAGTTTTTTTTCTTATACAACAGGTATACATTTTGTTACAAAATGTTTTAATTTTTGGGTGGATAATAAATTATGGTTCAAGGTCCTAAAATGTTTGTTATACCAATCTTCCTTTCTATGAACAGTTATGTTGCAATATTAGGAAACATTAAGACATATTTATTAAGCCACTAACTATTGGTAGTCACTTTAGATATTAAGATCTAGTTATGCTACCTCTGTGTTCAAATGTCATTTTTTCAGTTTGTATGTTCTAATTGAAATGTTAGATACATTGGTAGTATTTTTAGAAACTTCCAAATTAAAATATATAATAATAGAAGAATGTCATATAGAACCCTCACTAAAGTATCTAAACCTCCCATATTAACTATAAGATTATATTCTGAGAATAAATTGCATCCATTAAGTGCTAATGTAAAGGCTTAAAATATATTTTTACTGTACTAATAATGACTATGTACTTAATTCAAATGATGTGGAATATAACTTGAATATAGTTTATCTGATCTCATTACTTTTTTCATTCTGTTACAGTGCTCTTAATATTTCTTTAGATTTTTTCAGGTGAGCATTATCAAATGTTATTGTCCTATCCATAGATTGTCATGAACCACTCCTGAATATAAGCTAAAGAATATTTCTATATTTTTGCTGACTTAGTGCTACATATTAACATACTTTTAATTATTTATTATCCACAGATGAGCTCTGTTGCTGAGATGGCACATAAAGAGTGAGGAATCTCCACATATAGTGAATACGGACTGCTTTGTCAGACAGAATTAGGGTTGGTATACATTACTGGAAGTTGTAATTTTTTTACCCCTTTAAGAAAATATAATAGCCAATTTTTGTAAGCATTTTTGGTCATTTCTGGGATAATTTTAGTATGATACAAGGCCCTGTTCCCACTGATTTCAGCAATGAGTGAAGCCCTGTAAAAGCAAACCAACATTCTTAAAAAACCTTTTCTAACCTTCAATGAAAGCTAATTACAGTAATTGGTGCAATAGTTCATATTATTGGCACTAGTAGGGGTAAACTGTCGAGGGAATGAGGTATTACATATACACCCAAATTGTATCTTTAAGTGCATATACCCTGAGAGTTCACATTAAGCCCTATTTTAGGGATTAAAATGCAGCAGGTATTCTTAATTTTTTGTCTAAAGGTGAAATATAAAGTTAATGACCTAAATTCAGCTGATAGGATTTAAACCTAAGAAATCAACCAATTAATTATGCTGTTGCAAACAGAAAGCCTATTGTTTGAATAACTTCCTCTTCAGTAAAGATATGTATTTTTTTTTTTTTTAACAAGTCAGCCGTCTCCCACCGAGGCAGGGTGATCCAAAAAGAAAGAAAATCCCCAAAAAGAAAATACTTTCATCATCATTCAACACTTTCACCTCACTCACACATAATCACTGTTTTTGCAGAGGTGCTCAGAGCACAATAGTTTAGAAGCATATACGTATAAAGATACACAGCGTATCCCTCCAAACTGCTAATATCCCGAGCCCTTCCTTTAGAGTGCAGGCATTGTACTTCCCATTTCCAGGACTCAAGTCCAGCTATATAAAAATAACCGGTTTCCCTGAATCTCTTCACTAAATATTACCCTGCTCACACTCCAACAGATCGTCAGGTCCCAAATACCATTCATCTCCATTCACTCCTATCGAACACGCTCATGCACGCCTGCTGGAAGTCCAAGCCCCTCGCCCACAAAACCCCCCTTACCCCTTCCTTCCAACCTTTTCGAGGACGACCCCTGCCCCGCCTTCCTTCCCCTACAGATTTATACGCTCCATGTCATTCTACTTTGATCCATTCTTTCTAAATGACCAAACCACAAGAATACAAGAATAGATTTCAGTAAAACGTTGATATAACAGTCCCTGATTTATAACTTCAGATTTAAAAGATGAACTGTGTCCAGACAATATGCAGAAACAATGGGCATAGTCCAGTAAATCCAAAAATTTTGTTTATTGTTACTGTCTGCTGGGTGAATTGATTTTGGATTTAACAAAGTTTGTTAAAGCTAGAGTATTCTGTTATTGTTGCAATCATGGAAAAATAATCTTGGTATTCAGATTTAATGAGTAGTTGACATTAATGGATACCTCTTCCCCCCCTTATTATTTCAAAGTCTTGTATGTCATGATATACCTGCATACAATACTGTAGAAGAGACCTGGTGCACTCCTTTGATTAGTCTTTAGTTTTATTATTGCTAGCATCTAAAAGCTAGTGTTTTGAGATCCCAGGAATATTACGGAAACTAATTTTTTTCACCAAATGGTCATTAATGTGTGTAATCTACCATACAGGAGGTACATACAGTATTTCAACATTAAGCTATTGATATACTATATTGATCTGCATTATGTCTAAATTTTGTGAATTATTCTTCAGCTGTGTAGTATGATTTCAGAGTTTTAGAATTAATTTTGCATTAACAGATGCCTTGTATACTTTTGTTTTCAGGAGGAGGGTTTTTCATTGATGTACAAAGGTATGTACAGTAAACCCTAGATTAATGGACTAATATGGGTGACCGGTAACAGAGATAGTGGCAGATAGAGATGAGATTGTTTTGTTGTTTTCGAATCAGTTGACCCATCACATTTTGTCCCATATTTCCTAAGCCATTAAATTGAGGTCTGTTAAATCAAGGGTTATTTGTAATGTGCATAGGTACAGTACAACAGTTGGATAACAGGTTTTATACTAGGGTGACTAGCCTTATAATATCCTTGGCAGATGTTACAAATTCTGTAAAATAGTACAGCTAGGTAGTGTCTATTAATGCTTAAGGATTGAAAATCAGACCTCCCATCACTTCATATGTTGAATGACCAACATGAGTTTACCACTTAACATAAATATTTGTTGGCAGATACTGCATATGCTGTAGTTTTATCTTGTTGACAAAATAATTTTTAGAAAAAATTTTCTAATTACAGAATTATTCTTTTCCAGAGTGAAATTGTAAACAGATCATCATAGTTATTTGATCTGGTACACTTGGAGATATAAGTGACAGATCAGCATTGAAGAAAATAGTACATATCAGAAGCAAGATGAGCGAGGTAGCTAGACTTGAGCGTGAGAAGCACCGTGCAGAGAACAAAAACAACCTACGTGAAGTTGCTATTTTATCAAACCTGCTTGGTCAAGAGTTACAGAAAATTGGAGACTATGAGGGAGCATTAGCCCAGCACCGAGAGGAAGGATCTCTGTGTGAAGCTCTTGGTGATACTATAGGAGTTGCAGTCTCCCATCGGAGGATGGGAGAAGTCTACTGTGAGATGGAACAGTGGAAGAAAGCTCTTCAACACCAGCATCGTCATTTAGCACTGGCTAAGGAAGCAGAAAGTTTAGTCGAAGAGCAGCGAGCTTATGCTACTATTGGTCGTACTCACTTGCAGAGAGCTGAGGAGTCTGGAACTAGTGAACGAAATGAGGAGCAAATTACAGCTTTGTCTGAAGCTGAAAAAGCATTCTTGCGATCTCTGTCAACATGTGAGCAACTTAAAGGAGCGGTTGATGCTCGAGAACATAGTCAGATGCGTTGTCGATTGTATTTAAATTTAGGGTTAGTGTTAGATTATAGAGGGAATGTCAAAAAGGCTCAAGATTTTATTGGTCAGGCTTTAGAACTTTGTTCAGCTCATAGTCTCCATGAAGATGCCCAGAGATGTCACTCTGCATTAGGTGTTATCCTCCTTCGAGAGGGTATCTTAACAGAGGCGCTACAAGAAGGTAAAAAGTCTTTGGCTTTGTCAACAAAACTTCATGACAAAGCTCTGCAGTGTGAGTGTAATTTATTTTTAGCACACGTTCATCTTGCTAACACTGACTATGAAGCAGCGAAACGGTGTTTATATAAAGCCTACAAGCTGAAGCATCCACATTTAGAAGATAGGCAACGTATTGAAAAGAATTTGAAAACTGTAGTAAGCCTCTGCACAACTGAAGATTCTCTATTAATTTCTGGGGAAGCTGAAGGAGAGGAAAAGCTGAAGTTGTATGAAAAATTAGGTGATGGATCAGCAACTCTTTGTCTCTATTCTCAAGCTCTGGAGTATTACCATAAAATGTTGGATCTAGCTCTGAAACTAGATAAAAGCCCATCATTCCTTGCTCCTGTGTATTTATCCTTAGCACAAACATATTTTGATAAAAAACAATACAAGGAAGCTAAAGATTACTATATGAAAGAATTTAATATCAAGGTTAGGGAGGACTATAGTGAGGCTTGCAAAACACTGATCAGTATAGCTGATACCTGTGAAGCATTGGGGGAAAAATATGAGACAGTTTGCCTAAATTATGAACGAGCTAAAGAACTGGCAGTAAAGGCTAACAATCCCAAACTTGAAGCTTATATTTTGCGTTTACATTCTTCATTGAAAGGAATCCCAGAGTCACTAAAAATGGAACTAAAAGAAGAAATAAATAAGCTTATTGAAGAAAATGGTTTAGACCCAGAACTGGAGTTAAGTGAGGAAGAGGAAAGTGAAAATGAGGTTGATCTGGACATGATATACATCTCTGATAGTGATACAGAGCAGGAGAATTTTGATAGACCACGGCATTTGCGCCAGAAAAAAGCATTTGCTGTTAAGAGAAATGATAAAGGGGAGACTCCTTTACACAAAGCTTGTATAGATGGCAACTTGAACATGGTTAAAAAACTTCTTCAGCAAGGTCATCCAGTGAATCCGAGGGATAATTGTGGCTGGCTTCCTATTCATGAAGCTGCAAATCATGGTTTTTATGACATTGTTCTTATATTAATAGAAGCTGGTGCCTGGATCAGTGATCGTGGGGGGCAACAATGTGATGGCATCACTCCGATCCACGATGCTGCATCCTGTGGAAATTTTGAAGTTGTAAGATTATTGATGAACAAAGGAGCATCAGTCATGTCCAAGACTGATGATGGTGACACACCACTTGAGAGTCTGATCAAGTACAGAATGAGAACAAAGCTGTCACAAGCTGAAATAGATGAATGTATTATTTTGGAGAATGAATTAAAGGAAAAAATGGAGTTAACCGGTCATGGAGTATCAGAGTTATATGAAAATTCCACGAGTCAGCTTGATAAAACTGGATCATCTAGGTTAGCAAGAAAAACAAATGATGGGGCATCCTCATCACATTCAAGGATGAGAGCTGTCAATAATAAAAGTGAGTTCTCAAAAAATAGTTCACATAGAGAAAAAGCCAAATCATCATATCTGCATAGATCAAATGAAGAAGCCTCTTCAGTGAAGGGTAGTAGTAGTAGTGCCAGTGATCATGATGGGGACAATGAAGATGACCTACACAATGTATTACTTAGCTTGACTGAGAAAGAGGTAGCAGAGCCAGCAGATTGTGTAGTCAGCAAGGAAAATGATGATGATAAGGACGAAGATTTTTTTAATCCTTTGTTAGACGATTCACATAAAACATCTGCGACTGGAACGTATCTTAATGCAATAAACAGTGTGGGGAGCGCTGCACGTAGAGCTGAGCTCCAGAGAAGTTCCACAAGTGGACTGAAGCTCAGCAAAAGTAAAAAAAATGCTCTTGTCTCAGAAGAAGAGGATGTTGGAGATAACTGGCTTGATGATGATTTAGGTATCTTTACAAAGAAGAGAAAAAGGATGGAAAAATTTGAGTTTGAATATAAAGAACCGAGGAAAGAGAGAAAAATTTTGACTGAAAAAAATCCCATAGTAAAATCACTTTCCCTTTCAAAAAAGGTCCGGCAGACAAAGTTGACATCAATAGTCCAACAGTATTCAGGCAGAATTGGTACTTCAAACAAACCTGAGAATGAGGCTGTGAGTGAGTTATCTGAAAGCAATGTAAATATAACAGACATAAATGTAGCCATAGGTTCATCTATCATTAATAAAAGTGAGAGCCCAAATAACATTAATACCAGAACACCAGTTGTGGGTGGCAATGCACTTCGCTTAAGAGTTCGTGTGCAGAATCGTGTTTTATTAGTACCTGTGGCAGGTGCTGGCCAGGATCGCACTGTAGGATGGTTGGCAGAAGAAGTTACTCGAAGGTATTATCAACTAGCAGGGTTGCGTCCCCATCTCACTCTGACTACACAAGATGGGGCTGTTCTTGATTCTAATGACCCCATATCTCTTGTTCTGCCCAATGAACAAAGTGAACTACAGGCACAAGTTAAAGGATGGGATCTTCCACCCCTGCCTGACCGCTATTCTCAGGCTTGTCAAGCACTTGGTTGCATTCCTGTATCATCTCTAAACTCTGTTCTTTACCGTACAGAGGCGTCAACTAATCTGGATTTGAGTCGTGGTGGACGGTTAGCTGTAGCACAGTTGCAGCCTGTGCTAAGAGCTATCCAGTGTCAACAGAATTTACGTTGCCTTAATATTGCAAATTGCCGGCTTGGAGATGATGGTTTTCATTATTTAATGGAGGCTTTACCATCATTACCTTCCTTAGAGGTTTTAGATCTTAAATCCTCAGCTTTAACAACATCTAGTCTTCTTGAGCTTACTGAAGCTATCACTATGGATAAATTATCTTTAAAATCACTCGGTTCTCTTGATCTTAGTTACAATACCTTTCCTGGAGCTAAAGTGTCACATATTAAAACATTACTTAATCTACCTGTGCTAAATGTTTTATCATTAAAACATTGTTGTCTGTCACTAACTGGAGAACAGCAGCTACCTTTAGTTACCTCATCTCTCAAGACTTTAAATTTAGATTATAATACAATATACAGTGTAGCTTTAACTTCTCTTTTATCTTGTCTACCTCAAGTTTCAGTTATAACTCTAAGTGGATTAAACTGCAAAAGAGAGACACCAGAAGCAAGTACTCGCTTAGGCATGGCTCTGTCAGGGGTGCTGGGTGCTGGGAAGGAGTGTCTGATACAGCATCTTGATTTAAGCTCTTGCAACCTAGTAGATGCTGACCTGGAGGATATATCTGCTTACTTATATCGATGTCCTAATCTGACTTCTATTAACTTGGCTCACAATCCATCTCTTACATCATCATCTATCAATACACTTCTCAATGAACTGACTACAAATATTATCCTTCCACTCACAACCTTGAATCTTCATGGTAATTCATCTTTCCCATCTGATCTGAAAAGCAAAATCGCCTCTGCCTTAAAACACAAAGCTGCCACAGCGCACACTATAACAAACCTCTCCTTATCAACTGTTGATGCAGACACTGTAATAGAAGACATCTGGAAGTCTCAATATCAACACAGAGCTTCCATTACAAAAATTGGAAAGGAACTATTTCTTTCATGCTGTGACTAATGAATTTTATTATGCTGTAAACTAGACGAGTAAAAACTTTATTCTGATTCTTAAATAATTTATTAATGCATTATTTTAATAAAAGAGCTTGTGCACTATAATATTTCTTTTTTTCAACTTGTGTTTATTGCCATATTTTAGCCTTGTCCAGATGTTTAATTCTTCATAATATAAACTATGTAAAAAATATATATGTTTTTGTCATCCTTTAAGACAGTGTATTGTGGAGTGAATAAGGTTGTGCTTCTTTCAGCGAAGCTCCTTGATACTGGTGAATGGCTCTTGATTTAAGAAATAAATTTCCTCTTGTGGGGCATTGTCCCACAAAACCCTCTTCAGGTATACTCCAGATTACTTCCTTTTCTCCAAGTGCTGTATGATCCTACAGGTTTAGTGCTTCCCTGTGAATATTAGTACAGTAATAATACTGTGACCCTAATGGGTTTATCACTTCTTTTCGATTATAATAATACAGTAATAATAATAATACTGAGAACACAGGCTCCCCCTCAAGTGAAGTTCCTTGATGCAGGTGAGAACTTTTGATAAAAGGTGCTGTATGACACCTCTAGGTTGAGTATTTCTCTTTGATTATATTAATAATTTTGATCCAAGTTATTTCACATAACCTCTCAATCTATGGATAAATTCTCCTCAGACCGAACCTAATTACCCCCCAATCTCCCCTCCCCTATCCCATCCTCCCCTTTTTCCTTTCCTTCTCCTCCCCACCCCTCCCTTTTGCCCTTCCTCTTTTTGGCCTTTGGGATTTCTCCCACAGGCGCGCTAGTTCCTAAGTAGGGGAAAGGATACCGGGGTCCATCCCATTCCGTTGAGGTTCTTGGTGGTGGCGTAGTTTGCCGTGGAATCTGGATCGCCTGGGGATGTCCCGATCCCTCTCCGGTACCCCGGAGTAGCTTTGGGTGTCTTTTGGGCGACGGGTGTATCTCTGGAAGCCACCTTTCGGATTCCGGGGATGATGGCCGAAGGAGGTATGCTTTGTGGCGGATATCCGGCCGCCCTCTCTTTTGTCCACCGAGGTAGCTCGGCAGATGTGAGGTTGCTATCCCGGATTGCTGGTTTACTGGCATAAAGGGTAGGGTATGGCACGGGTTCCATGCTGCATCTGCGCTACTAGCGGTGCTGAGGTCCTCTTGGGCGTGGAGGGAGATTTCTGGCCCTTTCATTCCTCCTGGGACCTATTCCTCCCCGCTCCCCCCTTTTTTTATTCTTTTTTTATTTTTATTTTCTTTTCTTCTTTTTTTTTTTCTTAAAAACAAAAAGCAAAGGAGTAACCTAACCATGGAGAACCCAATCCATGAACCCACTACCCCCGGGCCCCTTCTTGATACCGCACCCCATTCTGACCCTGCCTTGTTTTTAGACCACTCTTTGAACACTCCTGATGCCCTGTACCTCTTGCTGGTGCTGTTTCCTCACCCGCTTCAGGTACCGGGGCTTCGACTGACTCCTTCGATTTGTCTGAACTCCGCTCTCCTTTGACTATGCTTCCGGCTTCTCCCTCTCGGGTATGGCAATTTTCGAATCGCCCGCCCATTTCACGCCGGACCAACTCCGGTCCTACTCCTAAACGTCAATGTCAATCTCCTGATGTTGCTCCTTCGTTACCTTCCCATTCTACTCGGAAAAGACCGACACGTCATGCACTCCCTCTCCACGCTCAGTTTCGGACCACACAATGGACTAAATTCTTTACTTTAAGACCGACTTCTTCTTCTGCCTACCTTTCTGACCATAGTATTGGCAAAGCGCTCCTGCGTCATGTTGGTAGAGATATTTCATTTCATGATCTCAAGAGCGGTACGCGAATCGTCACTGTCCAGAATGCTACCCAAGCTCATGATCTTTCTCTCCTTTCGCATATAGATACTACTCCTATCACTATTGAAAAACATCTTTCTCTCAATTCTTGTAGTGGTACTGTCATTCTGCCCCATACCATAGTCCAACAGAATTTCCAGTCATGTGGCAATGACATTCTTGAACAGCTGGAACTCCAGGATCTCCCAATCCTCAAAGTAGACACTTATGTCCTTCCTGCCCGTGGGCGGAGACATTACCCTTGCAATGTAGCTCGTTTAACTTTTGACAGCCGAGAACTCCCGTCCTCTGTATATGTCGCGGGACATCGGTTACAAGTTCGAAAGGTGATACCTACACCGCAACAGTGTAGAAATTGCTGGCGTTTTGGTCACCCAGCTAAATATTGCAGATCTATGGCCGAATGCCCAGTCTGTGGTGCCGACGACCATTCTAATACATCTTGCAGTCAACCTCCATCTTGCCTTAATTGTAATGAAGCTCACCCTTCGTACTCCCGACGTTGCCAGGTCTACTTAAGAACATAAGAAAGGAGGAACACTGCAGCAGGCCTGTTGGCCCATACTAGGCAGGTCCTTTACAATTCATCCCACTAACAAACATTTGACCTACCCAATTTTCAATGCTACCCAAGAAATAAGCTCTGATGTGCAAGTCCCACTCAAATCCAACCCATCCCACTCATGTATTTATCCAACCTAAATTTGAAACTACCCAAAGTCCTAGCCTCAATAACCCAACTAGGTAGACTGTTCCACTCATCTACTACCCTATTTCCAAACCAATACTTTCCTATGTCCTTTCTAAATCTAAACTTATCTAATTTAAATCCATTACTGCAGGTTCTCTCTTGGAGAGATATCCTCAAGACCTTGTTAATATCCCCTTTATTAATACCTATCTTCCACTTATACACTTCGATCAGGTCTCCCCTAAATTCTTCGTCTAACAAGTGAATGTAACTTAAGAGTCTTCAATCTTTCTTCATAAGGAAGATTTCTAATGCTATGTATTAATTTAGTCATCCTACGCTGAATTTTTCTAACGAATTTATGTCCATTCTGTAATATGGAGACCAGAATTGAGCTGCATAATCTAGGTGAGGCCTTACTAATGATGTATAAAGCTGCAGTATGACCTCTGGACTTCTGTTGCTTACACTTCTTGATATAAATCCCAGTAATCTATTTGCCTTATTACGTACGCTTAGGCATTGCTGTCTTGGTTTAAGGTTGCTGCTTACCATAACCCCCAAGTCCTTTTCGCAATCTGTATGGTCAAGTTCTACATTATTTAACTTATAAGGGCTAGGGTTATGGACACTCCCGAGTTCAGAACCTTGCATTTATCTACATTGAACTGCATCTGCCACTTTTCTGACCAAGAGTAGAGTTTGTCTAAATCCTCCTGAAGTTCCCTAACATCTACGTTTGAATCAATTATCCTACCTATCTTCGTGTCATCGGCGAAATTTGCTCATATCACTAGTAATTCCTTCATCAAGATCATTGATATATATTATAAACAACAACGGGCCCAAGACTGATCCCTGTGGAACGCCACTTGTTACTGATCCCCACTCGGATTTAACCCCATTTATGGACACTCTTTGCTTCCTGTCTGTGAGCCATGATTCGATCCACGAGAGCACCCTTCCCCCAATGCCATGAGCTGCTACTTTCTTCAACAGTCTTTTTGGGGCGGAACTCTATCAAATGCCTTACTAAAATCTAAGTAAATAATATCAAATTCTTTATCGTGGTCAACAGCCTCAAAAGCTTTACTGAAGAAAGTTAATAAATTAGTTAGACAAGACCGGCCTCTTTTTGAATCCATGCTGAGTATCATTAATCAAGCTATGCTTATCGAGATGGCTTCTTATAATCTCAGCTATAATTGACTCTAGTAATTTGCCTACAATTGAGGTCAGGCTTATTGGGCGGTAATTTGACGGTAACGACTTGTCCCCCGTTTTAAAAATAGGAATTACATTAGCCATCTTCCACATATCAGACACTGCACCTGTTTGAAGAGATAAATTAAAAATATTAGTTAATGGTTCACAGACTTCCATTTTTGCATTCCTTTAGAACCCTTGAAAAAAACCTCATCAGGACCCGGTGACTTATTTTGCTTCAGTCTGTCTATCTGCTTCACAACCATTTCACTAGTGACTGTGATGTTACATAATTTATCTTCTTCTGATCCACTATAAAAATTAATTACCGGAATATTATTAGTGTCTTCCTGTGTAAAAACCGAGAGAAAATAATTATTTAAAATCGAGCACATTTCATTCTCTTTGTCAGTAAGATGCCCATAGTTATTTTTAAGGGGACCTATCTTATCTCTGACTTTTGTTCTATAGACCTGGAAAAAACTTTTTGGGTTAGTTTTAGAATCCCTAGCAACTTTAATTTCATAGTCCCTTTTAGCTTTTCTTATCCCCTTTTTAATGTCCCTCTTAATGTCAATATACTGATTCATAAGATGACCCTCGCCTCTTTTGATACGCCTATAAATTCCTTTCTTATGCCCTAGTAGATATATTTCAGCCTATTATTCATCCATTTTGGGTCATTTCTATTTGATCTAATTTCCTTATAAGGGATAAACGTTCTTTGAGCAGCATGTATTGTGTTCAGAAAACTGTCATATTGATAGCTCTCTCGTTACCCAGTCAACAGATGATAAGTGTTCTCTAAGCCCATCGTAATCTGCTAAGCGAAAATCTGGGACTGTTACTGAGTTATCCCTACTATCATACTTCCATTCAATTCTACATGTAATTGATTTGTGGTCGCTAGCACCCAGTTCCTCTGAAACTTCTAAATTATTAACAAGGAATTCATTGTTTGCCAGAACTAAGTCAAGCAGGTTATTACCCCTTGTAGGTTCTGTCACAAACTGCTTCAAGAAACAATCCTGAACTACTTCTAAGAAATCGTATGATTCTAAATTCCCAGTCAAGAAATTCCAATCAATATGACTAAAGTTAAAGTCTCCTCGAATTACTACATTATCGTGCCTTGTGGCCCTAACAATTTCCTCCCATAGTAGTCTCCCCTGGTCCCTATTTAAATTTGGGGGACGGTATATCACACCTTAAATTAATTTTTCATGTCCCTCTGAAAATTCTATCCAAACAGACTCTGTATGTATTACTTCAGACTTAATACCCGTTTTTATGCAACAGTTCAAGCGATCTCGGACATACAATGCCACCCCACCCCCCTTCCCGATACTTCTATCTACTTGGAACAATTTAAAACCCTGAATGTGACATTCTGCAGGCATGTCCCGACTTTTTGAATTAAACCACGTCTCAGTAATGGCAAA